TTGATTAGAGAAAGAAAATCTAATGTTTAGAAGTTAATCTAGTACAAAATTACTCAAAACAGTAAAGAAAGCGGCTCAGGTGCTCTTCCCAAAACTGAACTTAACCTAAAAATGACAAAAAGTTCTATTTATACTAAGATGAAAATATCAGATAAAAATGCCCCTGCGAAGGTTGTGCGGCCGCATAATTCTGGTGCGGTCCGCACAATGAGCTTCTGCGGCCGCACAATTATCGTGCGGTCCGCATTCCTGGAACTTGGGCTTGGTACTTCGGGACTTTTGCGGTCCGCATAAAAATGAGCCGCGCTTCTAATTTTGCGGCCGCACAAAATGATGCGGTCCGCACTCCTTGACTTTAGACTTGAACCCAGCTCTCTGATTCTTCACTTCTACGGACCGCATAATAATGAGTGCGGCCGCACTTGACATCTTGCGTCCGCACAATTTCGGTGCGGTCTGCATGCCTTCTGCTGGCCCAAAGACTACTCTCTGAATATGCTCTCTGCGGTCGCACTAGAACTGTGCGGTCCGCACTGTTGGCCTTTTTGCCCTGCTTTGGTTCTTGCTCACTTTTGACTCCTTTATGAGTTCATTTTGACTTCTTTGGCTCATTTCCCAATATTCCTGTACAAAATCACATTTCATTAGTTCTTGGGAATACTTTTAAGCATTTTTGAGCTAAAACGCAAGTAAAAGAGAGCGAATAAGCGGTCAAAATCCCTAATTATCAGGTACATATTTAGGTATTTGTTGAACAAACATCATTCCTAATGTCTGTGAGGAATCAATACGGAGGGTTTAAACGTGGGATTAGGAATAACGAAACCTTGGTGCGATCTTAGTGAGCGGTGAATTTGTGCCAGCTAGCGTAGTTCGGAAGAATATGTCTAGTAAATTGTAGTAGTTGCTCAGAAGAGAATTACAACACCCGAAGTACTCACGATCGGTAGGAATACTTAGGCGAAATTATAGAAAACGTAGCGGGAAGAATTCCGACAATTGGGAAAATCATAACTGTAGGCCTCCTTAATCTTGTCTCTACCCCTTAGTATCTTTAGTTAATAATTCCACTTTACTTAGTTAGAAATAATATCTCAATCTTTATAACTACAGAATTTGTTCAAACCTGTCTTCTTAGTGATAGTGAACAGTTGTAGGTAAGCCTTAGTTCTTTGTGAGATTCGACTCCGGACTTGTAAATCGGATTATGTTTGCAGCGACCGCTTAGTCCTTTTAATAAGGCATAGTTGGGCGTGATCAGTCTAAAAAAATTACTGAAGAAGATATAGCATTCTCATAAAAAACACAAACACATTTCCAAAAAATCTAAAAACATTAATCGTAAAAGTAAAACCTACAAAGCTAATGCATTGATAAAAGTAAAACCTAGGAAACTATTTTAGCAAAACAAAATAAAAAACGATAAACGATTCAACTAAGATTACAATCAACAACAACAAAAAACTCAGAAATTAAATCATAAAACTGATCCTAAATTAAAGCCCAATACACATTTAATGCAATGTATAAAAGAACCATTAAAATCGTACATATACTTAATTTGTTGGAGAAGAAACAGTTGCAAAATTAAGCAGAATGCAATGGCGAAAACCGTTTGATTTTAGAGAAGAATCAAAAACCGCAAAGAAGCAGAGAGAGACAAAGACAAGAGAATGCTGTATACTTGGAGATAAAGTAGTCTTTTATTAAAGAAGGGCAAAATCGTATTTTTAAAACGCTTTTAACAAAAAATCGGGTACGGATGCAAACGTAAAAACAAAACGGGTACAAGTAGGGGTGTTCATGGTTCGGTTTGGTTCGGTTTTTCCTTAAAAAGAAACCAAACCAAGTAGGTCGGTTTTTTCTCGATTCGGTTTATGTCGGGTTTTGTCAGTTTTTCGGTTTTTTCGGTTATTTGTCGGTTTTTTCTTAAATATACGACATACACTACCAAACACATATTCCGGCGACCACATTTTCAACGTAACACTATCAAATCAATTGCCCTTTGAGAAATCTATTATTTACCAAGATATATTGATGATAATTGAATCAAATAGTAATGAATAATTTAAGGACTCAACTAAAAATATATTATTTTAACACGAAATGGATTCTTACACTTAACAAAAGAAAACTACCAATCAAACTAGAATGTAAAGGTAAAGAACTATACTAAAAGTGCAAACTATTAACATTTACCATTAAATTTTTTAAACTTTGTACAAAAATATACATATATATAGGTGTAATAATAAATTTGAAATAGCTACTCCTATAGGCGGTTTGGTTCGATTTTTTTCCGATTTTTTTTCTGATTAAAACCAAAATCAAACCAAATTTGATCGGTTTTTAAAATTCAAAACCAAAACCAAACCAAACCAAAAAGTATCGGTTTTTAAAATTCAAAACCAAAACCAAACCAAACCAAAAAGTATCGGTTTTTTTGATCGGTTTGATTTGGTTTTCAGTTTGGTTCGGTTTTTCGGATTTTTATGAACACTTCTAGGTACAAGCTAAAAAGGGGCGACCAAATAGGGTACCCCATGTAATTTTTACAGTGACGCATTTTAAACCTGTGAAGGCCTAGGTCCGGAGCGGACAATATCACTAGCGGGCTGGGCTGGGGTGGGCTGTTACATTCGTAATCTATTAAACTAAGAATTCAACATGAAATAATTATTAGTATATATTATTAATATTTGCATTGGGAATCCTTGTAATATTTTATATCTAAACGAAACGACCCCTTAAGTTATAATTTTGATGGTGGCGGAAAGAATAAATAAACTCGCATGCGCCATGTCGCAGTCCTAAACCAGTAAACTATGTAGGACTATTGAAGTTGTGGTCAGACTGTCAGAGTGACTTCCTTACCAACCACAATTTAAAAATATCTTTTTTCTCCTCTAATTGGTTTCATCACTACTTAACAAGAAAGTAACACGTATATTTATCTTACTGGGACCAAAGCAATTTATTCTTGACTTGTTTTATATGATATAGTCTCTTTTTCAATGTCACAAGAAAATAAATAAAAAATGATATTTTCTTAATCTGAAAAATTATTTAATTTTAGTATTCTTGACAAAAATTATGAATGAAGTGTCTACCGGAAACAACTTCTTTGGCTTCTTAAGATAGAGGTAAGGTCTGTGTACACTCTACCCTTCCCAGACCTTAATTGTAGGACTATACTGATTATATTGTTGTTGCATTCCGTTTCACTTAATGACATAACTTGTTAGGAACACACGTGATATAATTTTTTTTTATTAACAAAGAAAGTAATAAAAATTCATATTAAACTCTCACCATGATGATTTACATTTTACGGAACAATTTTGATACTTTATATTTAATTTAGTATCCCGTTTTATAAAATGACATAACTTGTAAGAACACATGTAATATAAATTTTATTTTTTCATTAAGAGAGAAAAAGTTAAAATTCATACTAAACTCTCAAAAATGAAAAATTCATACTAAACTCTCACCATCATGTTTATATTTTACGAAATAATTTTGATACATTACATATCAAAGGCGTGCTTTATTAAACTCACACTCAGACAAACTATTTATCAAAAATGGGATGGAGGGAGTCATTTCAATGTAAAACTAGATATTATATTTCTAAGGACTACACAAAGTTAAGTTATCAGTATTTTATCAAAGAAAAAACATATGACTTCACACCATAATAAAAAATGGCCTATGTTTTTAAGTTTTATCCAACCTAGCCCATATTATACATATTTTGAAAGCACTAGCAAATTCAAAACTTGTGTTCTTACAACCATTGCTTCTAAAAGCTATGGAGTTAAATATGTGTTCTCACAACCATTGCTTTCACTCTCTCTTCTTCTCACATCTTCTACATATGCTTCAAGGGGTTGTCCGCCATTGCTGCTTCTTATCCTGCGTCACCTGGTTGCAATGTAAGAAAATTGAAGAGTAGAAGTCCACCATTGAAGGCCATTCAAAGTTTTGCTTTCGGAAATAGGAATTTTTGAGTTTGTTAGTTGTTTGGATTGGGTATTGTTCCAATTGATTGAAAATATCAAAAAGAGTTCAAAATTTGAATTTGAAGTCATTTGGAGTAGATTTGAGCAAGATTTGAGTTAAATTTTAGAAAAGACGCAAGGAAGAAGACGAAGTCAGTTTTTTGTATAATTATGTATAATCTTGTATAATAATGTATATGAGTGTATAAACACATCTTATACACTATTATACACTTTTATACACCTTTATACAAGCGTCTGTAGACGAACTTCTTCCACGATTTTCAGTTTCAATTTTTTTTCAAAACCAGTCAAAATCTCCATTAAATAACTTCAAATTTTATATACAACCCCCTTATACTATTTCTAACAAGACTAAATAACACCAACTCCAAATTTCTCGCAAAATTAAATTCGAAATTTAAACCCACATGTTTAAGCTTGTTAAAAATTTAATTTTCACCATCCAATAGGTTTGTTGAACTAATATTTGAGTCACAGTTACTGATTCAAAAATTAACTTAAAAACTTGAGCAATCTTTGGTAAAAATTAAATAGTAATTTCTAGAACCTATTAGAGTTGGATGTTGAATCTTAGCCTATTATTTTTAGGCTAGTTGGATGTAAATTGAAATATGTGCTATAAAATTGAAAAACAGGGAGCTCAGTTGTTCTTATGTGAAATTTTCCCTTATTTTTAACTTAGAAATTTAAAAAAAAATGAAAATTTCATAGTATTTAATTAAGAAAATAACTATACATACTAAAGGTTGAAAATTGCATGGTGTGTAATTTATTGATCAACAATTACTGTTACCAAAATTGATATTTGTTTAATTGTATTTTCGGTCATTAATTAAACAAAAAAACCGGAAAAGAAGAAGAAGATGGAGACAGAAAATAGAGGCCAAAGACTAAAGAGTGGTTATAGTAGAAAAATGCGCCCAACAAAGTGCCAGCACATGGTGTATCAGCTGTCCCTACCAATAACCCTCTTCTCTTATAAACTTCTCTCCTATTTTCCCGAATTCATCGCTCCTCCGCTCCTCCTTTTTCAAAATTTTCTCTTCTCTTCTCTTCTCTGCCGGAATATGGATGTCCGTCGGAGACCTCCCAAGCCTTCTCACCGGAATCACCATCTTCAACACCACCCTCAAAGAGCTTCCTCCGCCGCTCTACGTCGTTCTCCTTCCCCTGCCCCTAAAGCTTCCGATGCCCTTCCTCTCCCTTTATACCTAACCAACGGCATTTTCTTCACCCTCTTTTTTTCTGTTGCTTACTACCTTCTCCATCGCTGGCGTGACAAGATCCGTAACTCTACCCCTCTCCACGTCGTCACTCTCTCCGAACTCGCTGCCATTCTCTCTCTCATTGCGTCTTTCATTTACCTCCTTGGATTCTTCGGCATTGATTTTGTTCAGTCATTTATCGCACGTGCCTCTCACGACGCTTGGGATATTGAAGACGAAGAGGAAAACAATCGCTTCCTTCTCGACGAAGATCGCCGCCCCCGCCGCCGACCTGCTCCTTGTCCCGCCGCCCTTGATAATTCCTCCATTTCGGCTCCTGTATCCAGTTTCATGGATCCTCCGGTGCCTCTTCCCTCTCAGGACGACGAAGACCTTGTCAAATCCGTTGTTTCCGGTGACATTCCTTCGTATTCCCTTGAATCTAGGCTCGGGGATTGTTACCGAGCTGCTTCGGTTCGTCGTGAAGCGGTTCAGAGGATTACGGGGAGGTCTCTAGCGGGTTTACCTCTTGACGGTTTTGACTACCAGTCGATTTTAGGGCAGTGCTGTGAGATGCCGATAGGGTACGTTCAAATCCCAGTGGGGATTGCTGGGCCCTTGTTGCTTAACGGATGTGAATATTCCGTTCCCATGGCGACTACGGAAGGGTGTTTAGTTGCAAGTACTAACAGAGGTTGTAAGGCTATTTATGCTTCTGGGGGAGCTACTAGCATTCTTTTTAGGGACGGGATGACGAGGGCTCCCGTTGTGAAGTTCCCGACGGCCAGCAGGGCGTCGGAATTGTTCTTCTTCTTGGAGGACCCTGCTAATTTTGATACCTTAGCCATGGTTTTCAACAAGTAAGCACCTTTTTCCACAGAAAATTTAATTCAGCTTTAAATTTGTGCTGTCGCTTTCTTGGTCCCTAAAAATGTCGTATTCTTGGTTGTTTTTATCTGAAAAGGTGCAAGTCTTTACAACATTAGGTTTTGATTCCTGGCAACTTCCTGCTGAAATCTACAAACTTTTTAGATTTTGACTCTTTTAGGGGGTTAAATTTGGGTTACTGTTAGGTGATGGTGACTTTTTCATTCATAAATGAGATATTGGCTTTACATATAAACTATCTAGTTCATTACTTCTGCATTACCTTATCAAAAGAAAATTCAGTTCATTTATTCTGCATTTTGTTAACAAATTTCTAATGTTTCCTTGAGATGTAACCAGTTTGATATGGTTCGGCTCTGTTCTATGTTGAGCATCATAAACTTGAACAGAGTATTTATTTCTTCACTGTTCAATATGTAGTTATTGCATTGGAAGCAATGCCATACTATAGAGAAAAATAAAACACAATAAAGGTGCAAGAGATTCATATAAGTAATACCAACTAGTAGGGATCTAGACTTAGTCATGTTAGTACACTTGCATTAGGTCAGTATTTACTAGGGGTCTTTTTAGTATGCTCAGTGAGTTGTATGTCTGTGGAGAATATAGAATATAGAGAACAGAGAAGCCCAAACTATTTTAATTTTAAATGAGATCAGTCTAAATAAAGAAAATTGAATAATGATGATTCACAGGCCTGTACAACAAGCTTATGGTTGAGGCTTACTAATAGTGTTGTTGTAAACTTGTACTGTTTTGTTGGTGATCTTCCTGATCCATGGCTTTCCATATTCTTCCTATTTGGATGCAGATCCAGCAGATTTGCCAGGCTCCAAAAGATTCAGTGCTCACTTGCAGGGAGAAATCTTTACATCAGGTTCAGCTGTGGCACGGGGGATGCCATGGGAATGAACATGGTATCCAAGGGTGTTCAGAATGTTCTTGAGTTTCTTCAGGATGAGTTCCCAGACATGGATGTAGTTGGTATATCTGGTAAGCTACTGGGGCTTTTATCCAATGATGACTTGATGTGATTAATAATTCTTTTTTGTGCTGGGGCCTCTAAGTATCACTTGGGATCACTCTGAAAGTTAACTAAGTAAGCTATTATTTTGCAGTAAGTCTTTCTGAAATTCATGAAAACATCCCTATTGATTTGATTATCTAATCATTGGCTTTTTTATCAACTACGAGTCCTCTTCCCAGTAATGTGTACCCAAAATGACATTTTCTTTCTTTGAGGTGCCAAAAATTGGCAAGTGTTTCTAAATGAAGCTCGTAGGTGTATGTAGGTGAACTTTGTGAGCTGGTTGTATTTTTCGTAAACACCGATGAAGCTCTTGCATCTCTACTGCAGCTGGCTTGTATATCTTTTTAACTGACTGCTGCTTGTCTCATGTCGCAGGGAATTTCTGTTCTGATAAGAAGCCTGCTGCTGTGAACTGGATTCAAGGGCGTGGAAAGTCAGTTGTCTGTGAAGCAATGATATCTGGAGAAGTGGTGGAGAAAGTATTGAAAACTTCTGTATCTGCTCTTGTAGAGCTGAACACGATCAAAAATCTTACTGGCTCTGCTATTGCTGGTTCTCTTGGTGGGTTTAATGCCCATGCTGCCAATATTGTCTCTGCCATTTTCATAGCCACTGGGCAGGATCCAGCACAAAATATAGAGAGTTCTCATTGCATTACCATGATGGAGGCGGTCAATGATGGAAAGGATATTCACGTATCCGTGACCATGCCTTGCATTGAGGTAATTTTCATTCTGTAGTATATTTTTGTCTTTGGTAGCCTTATACGGTGAAAAGTCAGTTTATACCTCACAAAGCCATGTGCTGCAAAAATTTCCTTATGATAGAAATGTCTCTTGCTCGTTCAAAATTTTGGTACTTGGGATGTATTATTATTCTTATAAACAAGCATGGTTTGCCTAGGTTGGTACTGTTGGTGGTGGGACTCAACTTGCTTCTCAATCGGCATGCCTGAATCTGCTCGGTGTTAAGGGTGCATGCAGAGAATCCCCTGCAGCGAACTCGAGGCTCCTGGCAAACATTGTAGCCGGTTCTGTTTTGGCTGGGGAGCTGTCATTGATGTCTGCCATTGCAGCTGGCCAGCTTGTTAAAAGCCACATGAAATATAACAGATCAAGCAGGGATATGAGCACAATTACCTCATAGAGTCTTGAAATTGTTAGCAAGTTTCTGGCTAATCAACTTGAAGGAGTGCAAGGAGACTAGAAGTTAAAGTTGAAACCGATGTAGGGGGTGGAGCAAACAATACACATCTGCTTCTGCAATCTGCGTTAGCTGTAACATTTGGCAAGCATGTGAGTTCAGGGAAGTCGGAGCTCACACGGTTGACTTTTACTTCAATGACCCCGCTGAAGCATTTAACAAGTTGTATTTTGTAACCCAATCTTGCTTATCCCCTTTCTTTGATCAGTATTTATTCTAATTTTTCAGCATTGGTGTACTGTTATTTCTGGGATGTTCTTGAGGTTTTGATATTTGTTATTATTTCATTGTACAGTTTGGTAATGTGTAAGTACCAAGTGAAGGAATTTGTAAGTTTCGTTCAATACATTAGGCTCTAATGTTCAAAGGCTTTTGCTAGTAGTATTCTGGTCGTTGAGAAAAGAAACCAAATGAAAGGTGATTGATGCAATTAGAGCTGGAAGCTACTGCTAAATATTGTAACTAATGAACATATTTTGTTTTTAGAATTTATTAGTCTGATTTAGTGGTATTACATGAATCATTTGAAGGGTTGGAGACTTTGCCCCTGCACTAAATGATAGAAACGTCATTTTATGATCATCTTTCGAGTCTTAAGGTAAGAAATAAACTTCCTTTTTGGTTCTCTCACATCACCCTTCCATTCGATAACAGGCTCTCCTGGAAAGTTAAAGCGAACAACTTTCTTCCAACAATTTACATATGGCAAGTGGAATTGTATTTACAATGCTACTGTTCTACCATTGGAATATTAGCAAATCAATGGCTGTAAATTAGGCATTGAGATGCATGACTAAACCGTATATATTGGCCTGCTAAGGGGGACCGAGTTCTGCAGTCCACTAAAAAAGTGATTGGTCCAACTTTATCATGTTTGTGCATGATATGATGTCTGGCACTTTCTGCACATGTTTATATCGAATTAATGGTACGTTCTTTTGTATATACATTTATCAATTACTTCCTTCGGTTCACGATAAGTGACCAATTTACTTTTAGCACGCCCATTAAGAAAATACTAAATTATATACAAAAATATTTACTATGACTAAACTATCCCTAATTAAACATTTAATGTGAGGAGTAAGAAAACTTTTTAGAGATATGTACATAGGGGTTATTTTGTAAAAACAAATTAAATTCTTTCTTGATTACATAACTGAACACTTATTTTGAACTAAAATAAAAAAATAAATTGATCACTTATTATGGACCGAACCGAAGGGAGTAATCAATAATAATTCGAAGAGACGAGAGTGTCAGAGAAAAAAATATGGTGGAGCCGTAGAGGAGCCCCAATTAGGAACTATAGTCGATTTTCTTACCTGTCAGTTAGTCAACTTGGACCCATTCACTCCCGCTACATGTTGCTTGTCAGTTGTCGGTGCCAACAATTTTTTGGTGGAACAAGCGTTTTTTACCAATTCCAACTGTTCATCTTATGTGATATCACAATCAAAGACATATCTAAATTTTAAATTAGTGAGTTTAGAGGGATTGCAATTATATACATTTTTCAAGTTGATGTTAGCTGGTGCGAGAAGGGAGCCTTGGAGTAACAAAATAGTTGTCTTCGGTAACCTATAGGTCACGAATTTGAGTTGTGGAAGCAACCATTAATTTTAGCCATGGAAGCAGCAATAAAGTTGTCTACATCACACCCCTTGGCATGGGCTAAGCCACATGTGGTCATAAAAAGTGTTCAATTGACCACTTTTCGTCGAAAAACTACATTGTATATGTATGTAAAATATTATGTTTTAGAGGTATATAACACATATTGAAAATCCGTTGTCGCGAATTTTTTTACTTTTTTAAAATTTGAACACCCTTTGGAAAATTCCTAGCTTCTCCACTGCCCCTAGGAGTGCGCCTTTCCGGACCTTGCATGACTACCTGAGGCAGACCTATGCAAGGGGTCTCCGGCATCCGAAAAGTTCGACAAAAATATCATATATACATGTATGTCTTTAGAAAATAGTGATATATTAATAGTAAGAACCATATATACAAAGCAGATTTTGGTTGAATCAAAAAGTGCACCTGGAACATTCAAATCTTGGGTTCGCCACTAGTAAATATGAGATACTTTGTACACAGATCCGTCTTTTTTTAAGTTTGCTGGTGAGACCATATCTGCTACGGGTAGTTTAGAATTTAGATCCGTCCAAGAGTATCATGAGTCATGACCTAGTACAAAATAATCCGGTCCAAGTATCATTATTGTAAACGTAAGTGCTATCATATTTTAAGATTTAATTACTAATATATGTAATTGAATTAAGAATATACTAGTAAGTCCAAAGTATCTAGAATATTTAACTGTCCAGAATGGGGCCAACGTGACACACACTTTTTTTGTACAGTTGTATAATTTAAAGTTTAAAGTTCATTGATTACAATTATGTGTCCTTCTAGACTGCTGTAGATCGTTATCATTCCTAACTAATACTTTTAATTTATTAACATTGATTTCTGGAAGATTGATTTAGCTGTGAGTTAATCATCATATATATTACATAAAATTGACAAATACTAATTTGCCTGCATCAGCTTGGACCCTCCGGCTTATTATTTAATTGAAACAAAAAGGACGTTAGATCAGTTTGAGTCAGCAAAGAGAAAATACACGTATGGATACTAATAGACGTTAGTGCATGGGCCAAAAATATCTTTGATATAGGCAAGCCGTATCAACACCATGATAGCCTTCATCGGTCGCCACGTGCTATCAGTAAGATCTCAACAAAGATTTGCCCCAAGTCGAAGCGGCCTCGAAGCGATGAAGGGCGCGGTCGAAGAGTCAACAAAGATCAAGGTCGTGAAATCATCTTAGATCAAGGTCGAGGTCGAGTATCTTACACAAACTTGTAACGGCAAGTTTTAAGATAGGACACTAAAGATAATATTATAGTGGATATTCTCTGCACCTTTACTATTAGGGTTTCTAGGAATATGTTCCTTATAAATAGAAAGAGACATAATGATAGGGGACATGAGATATTCACTTGTAAGAAAACACATTGACTTTATAAAGAGAATCTGACCACATTACAAGCATACGAAAATAACCTTTTTACTAATATTCTTGTCTAAGCTTTTCCACTTGATCCAAGAACAACCTGAGTGCTCTAAGGCTCATCAATCATTCATCATTGTCAGAAAGAATATCCACAGATCTCACCCCTTTTAGGGAGACTCACACATTTTTATTTACTTACCATCCATTGCTATTTATTGTTATTTAATGCTATCTTTCATCTTTTTGGATCATTAAATACTGTTATTATTGCACACATTTATTACCGTTCGATCAAATATACACCTTATCTGTCATAAAACCGATAACCCTATCTTTTTGATATAATTGTTAGCTAAGATTGACTCTTCTTTATTTAAATCTAATTGGTTGAAGCAAGATCTATATTTTGGGTCAAACAGTTTGATGCCATCTGTGGGGACTTCTTAGCTAATTTTTTAGTTTCCTTAGATCTACAGCTCGCGTGAGTCACTAACCCAACAAACCCCAAGATTTTTCTCTTTGTTTGCACGTATGGAAACCTAGATGGTAGGTAACCAAGAAGATAGGACTAAATTGACATGTGATTTCCCTAGCAACCTCATGAACGCTATCAACGAGAGTCGCAAAACACTAAGCGATGATATGACACCCACTGCCTCCCTAAGGCGCGAGAGGTCGCCTCCTCTCATTGTAGCATAACAAAACCAAATGGAAAAGGGGCCTCCACGCTCACAGGAGAAGGGACGCCACCGGCCATGAAAAAGCTCCTCGAAGCATGGTTGACCGATACTCTAATTAGCGTGCTCAACAAACCCACTCCATGCACGTCTACACAGATCGCAAGAGCCCATATAGTGCAACGAACAGACGAACAAGGTGACCAACCAGACCCTCCAACACCATGTATAACCCATAATGTTACTAACAATGCAGGTGACAACGCCCTCGTTGCTGTTCTAAAGAGGATAGAAGAAATGGAGAATGAAAATAAAGCGCTAAGAGATCAAATGAAAGAACATCAAGAAAGAGTCGACAAGATACCGAGCTCCCCTAAGCTACTACCAAAGAGGGACGCCGGGTGATTCGTAGAGCAGCCGTACAAAGAGGAAGCAGCCCCACATGCCATTCCAAAGACCTTCAAAATGCAGCCGTATCTCAGGATATATGACGGAACGAATGACCCCGAAGATCACGTGACTCATTATGTTATCGCCGCGAAGGGCAACGATCTCACCAAGGAACAAGTGTCCTCTATTTTGTTGATGAAATTTGGTAAAACCCTTACGGGAGGGGAATTAACATGGTACTCACATCTACCGGCCCGCTCCATAGAAACCTTCGAAGAAATGGCCGATAAGTGCGTAACGGCACATGCCGGAGCCAAGAAAGACGAAACAAGAGTAAACAACATATTCTCCATCAAGCAGTACTTGGGAGAGGGACTAAGGGACTTCCTTGCCCGATTCAACGGGGTAAGGATGACCCTACCAAACGTGTCCGAGGGGATGGCAGTCGCGGCTTTTTAGAACGGGTTGAGTAGAGAGGGTTCAAGAGCAACTAGAAAACTGCTGAGGCGGTTGATGAAATATCCTCCAACCACTTTGGATGAAATCCACAATGCTTACTGTGCCGAAGTTTGAGCAGACAATGATGACCTCAACGGACCAACTCGACAGCTCATATCGGTACAGGCCGAGCCCAGGAAGGAACGAAGAGATAACATAAGGAGGGATCACCCGGTCTCACGTCCCAACAGGGAACGACATCAGCCATACGTCAGCTCCCCCTCCCGCATTATTTCTGCTATAAGGAGGCTCATCCAGGCCAAGGATGGGGACTCACCGGAATGAGAGAGGTATGCCCCCTTTATTATCTGCTCATAAGTTTTGTGTGTCACCTACAGAAATAGTTTATGCCTTGGAAAAACTCGGAATGAAGGTGAAATGGCCACCCAAGATGAGGTCCAATTTGAGCACCAGAAAATCAGACGCCCTCTGTGAATTCCACCAGGAGCGCGGACACAAGACAGAAGACTACATCAACATCAGGCAAGAGGTTGTGAGCATGTTGCAACAGGGACACCTCAAAGAGCTGTTGAGCGATAAGGGGAGAAACAACTTCGCGAGAGGACGTGAGCGCCAAGGCCCGCTGAAGCCACCATCACCGGCTCGCACTATCAACATGATCATCGGCGGCATCTACGACGCCTCCATCAACAACATTAAATTCACTATCACTCACAAGCTCAAAAGATCTATCACCCACGAACGGTATGACGAACTCGAAGAAAGTATCATCTTCGACGAGTCATATGCCGACGGTTTGTTTTTCCTTCACAATGATGCTCTCGCCATTACTTTGCACATTTTAGATATTGATGTCAAACTTATCCTGGTGGACGATGGTAG